TTACATTAAATTTTAATTAATTTATATTTAAATTATTAAAATAAATTACAACATAGATAACTTTTTTATTTATAAATTTTAAATTTTATTTTTATATAATTAAAATTCAAAAAAAAGGGATAATATAATCAAATTTTTAAAAATAATTTTCTTAAACAAAATTGATCAATTCAATCCAAACTAATCTAAACCAATAAATTAATTTGATTGTGGTATGTTAACTAAATTGATTTAATTTAACATTTTTTTAATTTAATTAAATTAGATTAAATTAAAAAAAAAATAAAAATTGATCATTCGAACCGCAAACACCCCTAGTCGGTGGGGATAGACCAACAGGTACTGTGGAGGTGGCTGAGGATGGCTTGGCTTCATCAAGGCTTTGAAGAAAAGAAAAGGCAGGGGACCCAGTAAGAAAGTCAAACCCAAAGTGGGAATTAACCTGAATTAATTATCCACTGTTTGTTCCTAATAAACCTTATTATTATATGGAGTGTGAAATGGATTAAAAGGTGGAATCTTTTGGACAGAACAAATGTGAACAAAGATATGCTCATGGAATCTTGGACTCAGTTTTGTTTTCTTACATTTATCTTCATCGTCACATATATATATCCCACGTGTGGGTTCTCCTGATTTCATTACAAAATTATCTGTTTACTTGTAGTCTTAATATTCCATTTACACACGCTTGCTCCATTTCTGTGTGCTTCACTTGCTTAAATATCTTTTGTTCTGAATTCTCTTCCTTAATTTATCAACATTTTGATGTCACCTTTTTTTTCCTTTGGTAAGTTGATGTCACCTAATTGAAACAGGCATGTTAATTGAATAAAAAAAAAATGGTAGAATGAAGCCCACAGTAACAATAAGAATGCTGATGAAAAACCTGTACAAGAGTTTTACTTTTTTATTAGATTGAAGGTTTTAAATTTAAACTTTAAGACCGACTAAATGAATCTTGTAAAAAGAGATTGTGAATTGGTAATCTCTTGTACCCATTCCAATTAGGAAATTTTGAAATATTAAGCAACGCGTTCTTGTTTCTCTGGTGGTTGAATTAAATCAAATAATAGGGTTTGTTTGAAGGAAGTCATGTGTCTCAGTGGCAGTTTTCAGGTCCCTATCAGTTAACTAAGAAAGAGAAACAGAAATGTTCTATGTTTTATTTGCACATATAACATGACGGATAAGCTTAAACAGCTGTCATCTGCATCGAATATAAATCTTCTGGTTTTCTTTCTCCCAACTACTGTTTCTAGATGAACTTGTGAGAACAATTTTCTTACATCTTACGAAATCATTGTCAGGTGCTTAATTATTAGTAGTTAGTGTTTGATGATATCAAGGTTGATACGGCTGCAAACACATGTATATATGAAATTAGCATGGCATGGTCATGGTTACAAAACTGTTCAAGAGGCTGACCAATTCTATTAAGATATTGCATTTGTCATCATTTTGACCTTGTTTGCTCTGCATGGATATGTATCTCAGCATCTGTCCGCCTATTGAGAGGTTTAAAGTAGTAATTCAGATAAGATTGTTAGATCTTGGTGGGCAAATTGAATCAAGATTCGTAAGGCAGTCAGATGTTGAACTTCAAATTTTTTGTGCTGGATCACATCCGAACAGGTGAAAGGACGGTGCTCTTATGCCAATCAAGATTTGATTTGAACTACCTGGGAAAGTCAACAAACAAAACAGTACTAAGTAGCCTGAAATCGACTCCAAGCAATGCATGACACTGTCACAGGGTTGAATTTCATTGCGTTTATTATCCAAAAACGATTCAGCATTTCACAATGATGATTCATTATTATCTATGCTGTGTAGCTGCACTGGTTCCAGCTAATGATATAATGCCTTCTTTTTACGTAAAAATGTAGCTTTAATTTTCACAAATGAAATTCTTCCTTACCCTTACCCACCAAACTTGTAGCTTTCATGGTTTTTTCACCTAATGAGCTTTATGCATAGGAGATTGAGATTAAGGAAGAGGATGAGATGAAATCCGGATGGGTTTCAGATTCTAATCTAATGGCAGAAACATATCAGAATCAACTGCTTCTAAGTCATTGATGAAGATTGAGTCTTGCTAGCTATAACATGGCATAATTAAGAAACAGATGGTACTTTTATAATTGAGGGGGTTAGGTTAGGCAAAATAAGATGGAAAGTGCTCAAGTTCATAAGTTCATCCTTATTAATGGTTAAACACCTGGTAAAACTCACATTTCTGCAACGTTTCTCAAAATTTGGCAAAAAGAAATTTGCATCAATCATCAATGTGTTGCAGAATCTGTCATTCCATTATCAATTTACCATTACCTCTCCCGTAATAAAATCTCCTACTAATTGTTCACATTATACAAAAAAGGGTATTAAAAAAAAAAACACTACCCCACACTTGCATTTGGTCGTATAGGTGTTTGGCTCGGTCGTTGACCTCTCTAGAAGAAGAACAGGCAAACCCCACTGAGAATCGAGGCCTTTTCTTTCGAATGGATTACTCTGGTGGCATCCACTGGAAATCCCTGCACCGGAGGGTCAGAGCCTTGGTGGCACCTCCTTTGCACTCAAGGACGAAGCCAATGAATGACAATGGTGGGGGGGCAGCCGCCACCCTGAACTTTGAAAAACATTTAATATGGTATTCTAACTTTTATTTGTTAAAAATTTTGTATTAGGGTAATTATGGTATGAATTTCAAGGATCATTTCAAATATAGAGAGAATATTTATGATTTAAATAAAATTTTTTCAAAAAATAAAGATATGATTTTAAATAAAATAAAATTTATGAAAATTTAATTAATTAGGAATTGGGATTCTTAAACATTTCTTTATCTATTAAACCCCAAAAAAAGAAAATTTTAATTATTTGTTTAATCAACTTTAAATTTATGGTCTTCTTTAATATTTTTTATTTTCTTCTTAATATTCAATATAATAATTTAAAAATTTTTTTGTGGCATTAAGATACATTTTTACCTTTCATCATTGAATTTATAATTATTTTTTATGTTAAATCAAT